GTGAAGATGACAAAGGGGGAACAAAGGGCGAGAAAGAAAAGGCAAGGGCATGGCGATCACGGGAACGTAGCATGCGGCTGTGGGAACGTATCTACAGTGTCCAAACTGGGATGAGCTAGGAAAGGAAACGGTCCGGAAATGGAAGGTGGGCGTCAAAGGAAAGGGAATGGGCGGCAAAAAGGGGCGTCTGTCCAACGTCCGTGACAGCTGACGCTCCCTGCACAGCTGCCTCCCGCGTTCTTTGAGTGGTACAAGGACCTTTACGGTGCTCCTCCTTCCCCAGCCGTCATTCGCCTTCTGAAACACGATCTGATGCAAAAGATCTGGCTCGAATTACTCGACCCCCAGTTTATGCACACCTATGTACACGGAATTCTGGTCGATTGTGGTGATGGTGTTTTGCGTCGTCTATTTCCACGTATCTTCCTGTACTCGGCGGACTACCCAGAGAAGTGAGTCCATCTGTTCCTCTACGGTACTACACGTTGCTTATTGCCTAATGATAGATGTCTCGTTGCCTGCCTCAAGTTTCTCGCAAAATGTGCATGTCCCGAGTGTCTGATCGAGAAAACCGACTTTGACGAGATGGGTACGGAAACAGACCTCCAAAATTGTGTCGTGAAGAGGCGCGTTGATTCCAACGTCCTACACGCAGCTGTTGCGAAGGCCCGTGAATGGATCTTCAACCTCGGTCGCACCCCCGAGGGTTGCAACGTTAAGGCGACGGTGCTGAACAAGGTCTCGATCACTCCTACCCGGGTATGTCCACAAACATTCAACGCCTGATAGCTGTCCTAACAATAGTCTGCACAACAGTCCGCATTTTCCATTCAATTTGCCAAATTTAAGAAGAACGTGTACAATCTCTTCGTGCCGGATTTGATGCACGAGTTTGAATTAGGCGTGTGGAAATCGACTTTCACTCACCTTATTCGTGTCCTCATCGCCGCCGGGCAAGACGGGGTCCAGATGCTTGACGAGCGGTTGGTCACTGGCCTCGCATTGAGTTGTCTCAACGCCGCTGATTATCCACCCCAGGTTCTCGCGTGTCCGGACATTTGGGCGCGGTGTCATCTGTCCTTTTGGAGGGAACATCTCCGGAATGAAGAAGCTTGCCGCAAGGGACTTTGAGCAAATATTGATTGTATGCCTTTTTACGTTGCAGGGCCGCACTACTACAACATGCTAATGTGCCGAATAGTGCTCCATGCCGGTTTTCGAGGGCCTTCTGCGCGAGCCATACAACACCATCATCCTCGACCTCATCTTTCAGTTAGCCTGCTGGCACGCCTACGCGAAGCTGATGCTTCATACCGAGCCGACCCTCGGCGCCTTTGAGGCCACTACGGTTTCCCTCGGAAAGGCCATGCGTCGATTTGTCAGTAAGGTCTGCCCCGCTTTCCACACTAAGGAGCTCCCGAGGGAGACACAGCCGCATCAACGGCGCAAGGCCGCATCCCTCCCGAAGACAGCTGGACAGCATGCAACTACATCCGAGGACGACTCGGCAGCGAAGGTGAAGACGTTCAATATCAATACCATCAAGTATCACCGTATGGCCGACTACACCTGCATGATTCGTCGCACGGGCACATCGGACAATTCGAACACTCAGACGGTAAGTACAAGCATGGTATCCAATGCATATCCTCGAAATTCTAAGGGTGCGGCAACGGTGTTGGTCTCCGTCCATGTACACCTTGGAATGGGATGCTGTGGTGAGCATGTATGAGATTGCGAGCATGGTTGTCAGTCGTGCCCCTGGCATCATGTTTATGCTCTCAAGCGGTGTGCAACGGTCTCGGCACCACTGACATCGTGTCCGAAGTCTGACGTTCAGATGAGATGCATCTATGTCCGATTGTGGTGGAACGAGCACGAGTTTACGTGAGGTGGATGCCTTGGTAGCCACCAGCCAACGCGAGCTGCTCACAATTGCTTTGTGCTCTACTCTTTTGGCGATGATCACGGTGGGGACAGTGAGGTCCAAAACCGTGTGTCGACATCCTGCCGATCTGCATGGCTACCATCTTCGTCATCGTGTACATGTTCGTCAAATCCTTACCTTAGAGGAACGAGAAGCCGAACCCGACTCCACTCGTCCAGATCGCTGTCATCGCCGACATCCTCCCAATCTGCATGGCTACTATCTTCGTAGTCACGTACATGTTTGTCTAGTCCTTCCTTGACAGGAACGGCAAGCAGAACCCGAGTCGACTCGTCCGCATCGTGGTCATCGTGATTGGTCCGTGTCGACATGGCACACGTGTGTACAGCAGGGTCTATTCAGGGTTCAGTACTTACTTCGTACTTTTCTAGGGCGAATTGGAACACAGGCGACTGAAGAGTTTTTACAAACGCACTAACAAGAACCGGTCCTTTGGACGTCAGGTGGCCACGGAGGTACGCCGACAGGCAATCCTTGATCGGATTAGCCGCGGCATTCCAGCATCATCGAAGCGACACAAGACACAAAATTGACAAACGTCAACTAGGCTCGGTCGACGCGATCTCCGTGTTCGGTTTGAAGAACAGCAACCTCTCAGCGATACTCCCTTGACCGACCACCACCACATGTCAATAGAGCAACGCTACCCCGAGAACATACTCGACTTCATGCAGACAAACACCGGTGATCCAGCGTGCACGGTACGTATGAACACTTACAAGTACTATGACATTGATTGATACAAATTCCAGGACTTCTTACGCGATCTCAAGGGACACCTACTACTTCGGTTACGTGGTGGGGCCGCCATCCCAGTAGATCACGAACCCACTGACGCCGACCTCGCTTACGTCCGTATATGTGCGAATCAACTCTACCACCAGAAAGTCCTCCGTGTCAATTATACAACATACAATATGCGCCGCTCGCAGGACTCCATCAATCCGCAGACGCACCCCGACATCATGATGGTTGCGCCTGAGGGCAGCACACATCCATACTTGTACGCACGTGTCATAGGCCTTCTTCATGTCAACGCATACCTTGCTGGAGACGACTTGTCTGGCGTGGAAGACACGGAGCCGAGGGCGGTTCAAGTGTTGTGGGTTCGATGGTTTGATGTTGACACAAGCGCGCCAGGCATCAAGTCACGACGCTTGCCACGTCTCAAGTGGGCTAGCACCGACGATACCCCCTTTGGTTTCATCTCTCCACGTCAGGTCCTCCGCACCGCGCAGCTTATTCCAGCCTTCAACCATGGACAGTCGGACACAGCACTCCCCGGCCCAAGCATCGCCCGACAAGACGACGAAGACGACATTGACTGGATTGACCATTACGTTGGAATGTAAGTAATGTATTAACAGATTCTTTCCACTCTACTAATAATGGCCCAGATTTGTCGACCGTGACATGTTTATGCACTACTGCGGAGACGGCGTGGGTCACCAGAACACCACCAACAATGAAGCCCCACGCCCACATGCAAATATGGATCTGAATGATGAACTCGACCCCGACATACTACCTCAAGTGGACACAGAAGCCGATGTCATAGTGGTGGACGTGTTGAACTTGGACTTATCCGGTCCGGACTACACGAGGCTATGCGTCTCCTAGCGCTTAGCTGTAGTCGCTTATGTAGTATGTTACCATATTTGGGACTCTCTGCTCGTGTACTATAGCTATGCTTCGGGACTCTTCTGGTACTGTCTAGGACAATCCGTACTACTCCAGAACGGTCTAGACAGGTCTATGCCTTACTCATCTCTTACTCATCCTATGGTGCGATACGTCGCAATTCTTTCACCATTGTATTATTCATCGCACTATGGTACATGTGACTAACCACTCTTCGATTAGTCATGGACACTTCTCTGTAGTATATAAGGACTTCAGATTGTGTCCTCCCTCTTCAGTCTTTCCTTACTGACTGAAGAGTGAGTACTTCATTACCTTTACCTCTAACTTGTAGTTACTTACTTAACCTTTGTAGTCTTGCTTCGACTCTAGG